GCTCCAATCAAGTAGAAAATGATTGGTTGCGTAAGACCGGGTTGTAATGGAATGTCCAGCAATACACTAGAGGCTGATCACCTCTTAAAGAAGATAATATGGCGTTTTCATTACCTTTGAATTACCATACTAGTATTATAAATTCGAAAGTTTAGATGGATGGATGGATGTTTGTTAGAGTTTGTAGCCTAAAAGGCTGAACGGATCTCCATGAAATTCGGCACAGATGTAGAGCAAAGTCTTTATCCTGGAAATAGTAACGGTTCCCGTGGAATGCATTCGTTTTGCTTTTTTAAATGTTTATTCAATAATCCTGTAATAATAAACGGTTCAACATATCTTATTGAAATTTGGCACAGTAAAAAAACAAAGTCAGGAGTACACATGCGATAAGGTTCATCCTCGAAAAATGTCCGGTTCCCAATGGATGATTTTCATGAACTTTAGCAGGGATACGCTATGTGACCTTTATTTTTAACTAGCTTTTGCGAGTCCGTCCGCGTGGAGTAAAAGAAAAATAAAAGTAAGTAGTCTAGGTGTTCTTTCAGATTATCCTCTACATGTATACCAGATTTCATCAAAATCCCTTAAGCCGTTTAGGCTACAAACTCTAACAAACATCCACCCATCTAAACTTTCGCGTTTATATTAGTATGATTTCTTACGAACGAAGGCGCGGACGCCAGTAAGTCGCCATGTAAATTATAAAAAAAAAACAGAAATTAGTATTTTTTCCAGTGGAAAGTAACTCCTTACTTGATTCTTATGCGGAAAACGAGTAGCGTTTACCATTTTTTCGTTTTTATTACAAGAACGGCGTTATGCAAATTTTTCGCAGGTCGGATATCATGACAGGCAATGGCCTAAAAGATTGATGTCACCCGCGTATACAAGACCTTTTAAAATAATATTATCAAGATTTATCAACTTGTAAAACATAATATTTGTCACTTTTATTATTTTGGTTTAGATTTGTGGTTTGGTTCATTTATATATATGTATAATATTGTAAGAAATTTGTACAAGCAACTGATTTGAATACCGTTCTTCAAATGTATTTGGATTATTTTTAGAGTTAAACCTTTTTAGATAGTTTTAAAATGTTTTCTTGTAATTATAATTGCTATAAAGTGGCCATAAATGTCGATCTTTCATACACTTCAACTTTTATGTAGACAGTAACGGTAAGAAGATTTCGTTAAGCGAATTAAGTATTTTTATTAGAACGGGTGTAAAAATTAGTTTCCTTAGAGCAAAATATTTAGGTAGATGGCTAAATTACAGGGCTTTGTCGTGTTATAAAATTCTTATCTATCTTACTAATATTATAAATGCGAAAGTTTAGATGGATGGATGGATAGATGTTTGTTTGAAATTTGGCATACATGTGGAGGATAGTCTGGAAGAGCACACACGCTATTTACTTTTTTTTAATTCCACGCAGACGGTGTTGCGGGCGAAAGCTAGTTGCAAATTAATCCTTCTTTAGTTCTTTACTCACAAATTTTTTAATCTACATATATTTAAAGTGAATATTTAAGATTCCCTCTATCACTGTTATTCCTCAAGTTAACGAAAATAGAGGCATAAAATTGGACATTTATGACATCGTCAAATTTTATTAAGAATACATTTATATTAGATGACACTACGTTGCTGTATCGAAATGTGACTTATTTACATGTTTTCTAATCTTAACAAACCGGTACTCAAAGACAGTTAAATAACGAATATTTTCGGAGCGCGTTTCTTTTTTCAATATGCATGTTAGATTTGTAACGGTCTCTTGATATTTATTCATCTGTCACGTCGCGTAGCCTTTGACCGCGTTGAGATTAAAAACAGCCAAACCCACTCATAATTCTCAGAAGCTAACATCGAATCTCGCACACTTAATTACGCAGAAAGAGATATTAACAAGCCGTTGCATATGACTTTGTTCATGGGGAATTAAAGAAAATACTTTATTAATAGCTTACGTGTTCTTTCATATTACCGATTCAAAAGAAATCGGCCCAACTCTAGATCGGCATACACGTCCCGTCCCATGACATCTGTCAATGTCAATTCAATGTCATTCTGGCGGGAATCGATATTCAGTATAATATTGTTGTTATTATTGTCTAAAGTACTACATCTGTGTCTGTGAGATTGGAGCTGTCCTGGAGATATGTAGTAAAAAAAGTACATCTATCAAAAACCCTTTCCCATGTATAATGTTAGTAAGACTTTGCTATAACATTGTATAATCGAAATACGAAAAGAAGGAGATTATCAATTCGTCTTTTACTTCGGATAAACAAAATATTTTTTTTGTAAATTATCAGACAACTTGTGTCAATTTTCAACAATATTCCGTGATTAATTTACAATCTAAAATATTGTAGGTTAACATTTTTAACAAGATAATTTTAAAATAGTGGCAACAATGTATTTATTTTAACTTACGGATACAATATAAGCATGTTAGTTGGCTATTAAACATTATAATGGCCTATCAGCTATCATTATTACCACTGATATACGTTGTTAAACCATAAAGAGGTTATGTCATGACACCTCTATCGACTGAAGCAAGTTCGTCGCTACTACAGCGTCAGATTTCTTTATTGTTTTCTCACATTAATGTGATAAATGTGAATTACTGTCGATACTTAGTTGTTGTACTGTAACTGTTGTACTGTAGAGAAGGTAAGGTGCAAAAGGTTAGCATGGTATGGGCATGTTATGAGGAGGGATGAAATGCATGTTACAAGTAATGACTGTGGAAGGGTACACCGGTAGAGGTAGACCTTGAAAGAGTTGGATAGATTGCGTGAAAGGTGACATGATCAAAAAGGGAGTGATGACTGAGACTACGTATGATAGTTATGTGGAGGACAAAAACCTGTTGCGCCGACCCTACGGGAGTAGGATAAGAAGGATGATGATGACTTAGTTGTTATTACCGGATATGACGAGCGTCGATAAAAGTAAAGAATCAAAAAATGTAAGATAGATATAGAACATATTAATTGTAGCTCCTTTAAGACCTAACCTAAATCAGCACGACAATTAGATGCTAGATTGATTTCTATACAAGGTCGGATCCAGCTTTGGCACCAGAGGGGGTCACATAGTAGTGATCAAGTCAAGAGCTTGACAAAATATGTAAATATATTTTGACAAGCTATTGACCAATCAGCTCAGGGGGGTCATGACCCCACGCCTCCCCCCTGGATCCGCCGTTGTTTCTATTATGCTTCTTAATAATTAACAATAAGTATTCATTACTTCTAAACGTTGTGTTGTACATATTCGATGCTTCCATCTCATATTTAGTGGTCGAAAATGAATGGGCAAAAAGATACATGAAAGACGGTAATAAAGGCTTACGTTACCTTTGGAATTAGTTTCATAATAATCCGATCATATTTAGCGTCGCGTAAATTATAGATCACCAACCATGATGAAACATTCAAAGTATCTGTTTTTATTTTTATATAACAGTTGTTTTGTTTAAAAACTCTAATAAAACTGAATATCTTTACTTGTAAAAATTAATTTAAAACAAGACAGGATGAATAAAATTAATAATGGTGTCATATCGAAAGCTAATAAATTTTCAAACGAAATCTTTCAATTTGATACGACGTAGATAAATAAAAAATGGACATTTTGCAGACAAGATAGATTTGTGGTAGCCAATTCGATTTTATTATACGACCGGTGATTTGCATTATTTAACAATCCTCATACATCGTCAAATGTTACGGCGAGTTACTGTTAAAGATTTGTGACTTATAAGTTTTAAATGTACAACCTACTAACACCATATTTTTTACATATTTACGACTGATAGAGATGTATGGAAGAGGCACATACTGTTTACGGTAGGAACAGGGGCATGTTGATGATTTATGTTAACCTCTAACTAAAGAATTTACCGCCATAAACTAGAAACAAAGCAATTATTGATCAATTAAAGTGACAAGTGACGTAATTTTTCCGTAAAAAATTAACTCAAGCCCATAAAGAGTGTGGAAAAAGTGACAAGAGTGGCAAATGTGGCAAGAGTGTGGAAAAAGTGGAATGTGGCAAAAGTCTGTCTATGTGTCTGTCTTGTGTTACTGCCGGAAAAATTTAGGTTTCTCTAAAAGTATTTAAAAGATAAAATCTTAATTAATGATTTTAAAAATAATCTTAATTGTTAGCAGATAAGATAGAACGATAAATTTAAATGTTATAAACTAATTTTCTCTTTTGTTTGGTTCCAGGTTAATCGAAGAAAATCTTCGTAAACGAAATTTAAAAATGTCTTCAAAGAATTTAGAATATTCAAGAAAATCATATATTCCAAACAGCGACATCTCGCGGCTTGAATCAAAATGACAAGAAAAGTTTTAACCATGATTACCCAAACGAAACTAAAGATGTCGCTTATCTTGATTTTGATGTTAATTATACGGCCTAGTGTTTCAAATCATAGAGAAGAGATGGCGTTGGCGAACGTAACAAGATTTGCATCCGGGGATTTATTTTCACTCGTTGGTAAGTTTGAAACTATAGTTTAATGTTTCTTTATGTTTTATCTGGTCTTATAAAAAAAGAAACAAAACCTTTGAACCCGTCATCCTACTAAACTTAAGTTTCTCGGGGCCAGAATATATAGCTTATTTATGTTTTGTGAAAGAAAAGCTTTTAAATGGGCCATGTATAATAAAGTCGGTTCTATACTTGTTGGGCCTACCCCTAATTATTCTATTTCTTTGTTTGTCTTAAAGGTCCAGAGTGCGGGCTAACGAGATGTATGGAGGTATCCCATGGGACCGCGCTGGCCGCCATGGGCGTCTCTGGCTGTTCCTGCCAGTGCGCACGCGACACGCCAGCTTTCCGGGAGGACCAGAGGATTTGTGTCAACCATATTGACGGTAAAATTTATCTTTAAATAACATTAGTATGATACCTCTGGGATTTTTTTTAGATAATAAAAAATTGTTGTCAATAAAACCAGAAAGGTGACATAAAAGTACGAAGATTGTCTTCCTAGGTTTATGCTTAAAAGCAGTGAATAAAATTGATGATAAATAAATATTTAATTTACGAAACACTTACGTAGTTTAATTATTAGGTTATATCTTTTGAGTACAAATTAATTCGTAAGTAATAGTTCCGTATATAACGGTATTTTAATTTCCCGCATTAAATTATGAACCGTAACCTCTGATGTAACTCGACCTTTAGGTTCGTACGCCACATGTTTAATTAATATATCTGCTATTATACGCTTTTGTTAAGCAACCCATTGTATTTGATCTCCATTAGCCTAATAACTGTAATAGTTCACATTTGATTCGAACAAAGGTATAGAGGGCGCTTGAATTCAAAGAAATCATTTTTACTGACAAATTATTTACTGTTAGCTATGAGAAGATATCGTTGGTAACCCGAGCTTCATATGACAATTTAAGTCGAGTTTGCTGTCAATATTTATAAAAAAACATATTTGTTCTCTCAATACATATGACAATAATATATGTTAAGCGTTTCGACAATGTAAATCAATAGTTGTGGATACTAACAGTGGTCATAGAGCAAATGTTAAGTAATTCAAACTTATTTATTTCAGAATGCCAAATGGCGAGTTACGGACGAGGCGCAACAAAACCGCAAATTCCATTCGTCTTTCTTCCACTCAAGGGACAAATCGTATATCCATCTAAGGAGATTATATTCACAGGTAAAAAACTAAAAAAAATACTCAAGACTAGCTGTTGTAAGCGACTTCGCCCGCATGAAATTAAAAATATAATAAAAACACATCGCCTATGGAAACAACTTGATTATCTGTCTAAGGGTGAAAGAATTTAAAAAATCGGCCTAATAGTTTTTGAGTTATTTCAATACATGCAGAAATATAAATCTTTCCCCTTTATAATATTAGTAGAGATGTATCAAATGATATGGCGTTCAAATATTTGATTTTTGTTATAAATTACAAAAAGTTATTCCGGTACCGGGAATCGAACCCGAGCCTCCTGGGTGAGAGCCAGGTATCCTAGCCACTAGACCATACCGGATATTGTTAGGTAGGCGAAAGTAAATTCCAAAATCTTATGTCCATTCAAATGTAATCTAAAAGCCTAATACTCAAGTAGGTTCCTACAACTCCGTAAAAAGGCGATCAGCAACAACTACAGTGGTAGTGCCCGCTTTAACATCTTAGCACTGCAGGGCCGGCACGCCCGGTGTAATACCACGACCACACAGAAGACAGACGTGAAATGGAAGCAATTCCGTGTTTCGTCTGATGAGTGTGGTGCCGGAGGCCTAATTTAAGTCCCTTTCTCTTTACTACCCTCTTCTTTTAAGGAGAGGATGAAAGGGGAAGTGGATTTGACGGTGGAGGAGATGCATAGGAAGGTCAAACATCCTCTGTATGTGCGTGTTATCCTCTGTTGAATAAGGGTAAGCAACGCATCTGCAATTGCGGATGTCTATGGGCAGCGGTCGCTTCGCCATTTTGGCGGATTCAGGTGGCCGCTTGCTCGTTTGCCACTTTATGTTATAAAAAAAAAAAGATAAACGATTAAAATATTCACTACCGCCTGCTTGAAGCACTGTATGGCGACCGTTATCCTATAGGTACACTGTAATTTTGTAATTAAACAATTACTTTAGGTATTAGACAAGCTTATGGTTTGGTCCAAACACATATGTGACAATAGTTAATCTTGATTTATTACTTATTTGTCCGCTTAAAATTAGATTATAAAAAAAATATATAGTCTATGTTACTCACTGATAACGTAGCTTTTTAATGGTGAAACAATTCTTGAAATCGGCCTAGTAGCTTTTGAGTTGTTTCACGGAATACAAAATACAAAAATACAAATCTTTCCTCTTAATAACATTAGTATAGAAGTGTAGATTACGTTCGTCCCTATTTTCAACCTTTACAGGATAAATTTGAAGGTTGAACTTAATAGTAATCTACGTAATAACAGAAATCTACAAGCAAGTATATTAGTTATTTATATTGGTATTTACATTTATGTCAGACGTGGAGGATGCTGTGTGCGCGGTAACCAGCGCCCAGTATCTGTCGCCATCGGGCTGGCTCGCCCTCAGAGACCTGGTGGACAACGACGTGCCCTTCGCTCTCTACAGGGACGAGGGCAGCACGTACCTGCAGGTCAGCTCACAATTAACACAATGTAACGGTTAAAATA